TGTTTGCTGTCACAGATCCCTCGTGCTCTCTGCAACAAAGATTTGCCCACGGTAGCTAACTGTGAAGGGTGATGGTGGGATTCACCGTTTAAGTATCGGTTTGTATGGGTCTTTTTTCTATACACAGTGTGACCTACGGTGTTATTAGGATTTCGAATGACTAACACATCTAGGAAAGCTAAAGAATTATTGAAATATTTAAGAAACGTCGGGAATATAAAATAAGTAAATTAAACGCGATAAAATCCGTAAAAATAGTTTTATTCAATGTGTAGTGTTCGCGTAAATATAAGAAATCATTATGTAAACCAGTACGGACTGGAAATAGCAAATAAAATACGCCGACTAGAAGATCTCAAAACCAAGCGCGCAAGATACATAACAGCTTTAAACTTCTTGAAGAGATGCAGAGACCATAATCTCATTCCTACGTGTGTCAAGATATCTACTAAAAAAGACATTCGAGGAAGCGCTAAGATCTTAAATCAGGCAAGCAAAAAATTGTTAATAACGGTGATTCAGCAAAAACGTACCGATCTATGTTTCATTAATAAAACCATAGACAAATCGTCCAGTGATCTAAAGACAGTTTTATCGACATTTGATTATAAGAATTGCATGGAAACTTTAGACAAACGTGAAACAACTAAATACAATGAATGCAAAAATAAACATATAGATAAATACCAAAAACTAACAACCAAATCAAATGTCCAACGCCAATGTCAACGTAATAACGGAACGCAATCATTGACAACAGACGTGAGTAATAAACAACGTGCGGTCTATAACCTGTCAAAACAATCTCTAGACGACGCGACGATAAAAGTTTTGGCCAAAGGTATGAATTTCGCTATAACACCGCGAAAAATTCCGTATGAAAACATTATCTGTAGTGTTGAGGACTGTCTGTATAAAAATAATATTGGTAAAGAAGATTTAGAGGCTATACGTCAAGACATTTCGTCCTTGTTACGTCGAAGCTCAGCGCCAAAATTAAATCTTCCCAAAGATGAATTTACTGCATTGAAAAACTTACGCAACAGACCAGATCTTACGATTCTCCGCGCAGATAAAGGTAATGCTACGGTTATAATGGATACGTCGGATTACAATTTTAAAATACAACAACTTTTATCGGATGAAAGTACGTACGTAAAGGTCAAAACAGATCCTACAACTAATACGCTTAAAACAACTAGCGATCTAATAAAGAAATACTCCGAGAAACTGAATCTAGACGTAAATTCGATAATACCTACGTGTGCCAAACCGCCGAAGTTGTATGGGTTACCAAAAATACACAAACCGAACGCTCCATTACGTCCAATAGTGAGTCAGATCGATTCGCCAACTTACAGATTGGCTCAACACTTAGCAAAAGTACTATCACCACTCAGAGGACATACAAGAGCACACACTAAGGATTCATACCATTTTGTCAGTGAGATAAAAGACCTATGTCTTACTGACAATGAAACTATGGTCAGTTTTGATGTTCAGTCTCTATTTACATGCCTACCTGTTGAAGACTGCATCTCAATTATAACTAGGAAACTAGAGGAAAACAACATGCCAGCAGAATATGCAGTATTACTCAGACATTGCCTTACATCTGGCTACCTATTGTGGAAGGAACAGTTTTACAAGCAAGTAGATGGTGTTGCGATGGGCTCACCGGTATCTCCCATTGTCGCCGATATTTTCATGGAGGACTTTGAGGAGAAAGCCCTGCTTACTGCACCAGTAACTCCAAGTTTCTACAAGCGGTACGTAGACGATACTTTCACAATTTTACCATCAGACAAAGTAACTGCATTTTTAGAACATCTTAATTCCATAAACCCTAAAATTCAATTTACTATGGAGTTAGAGGCAAATAATTCTTTAGCTTTCCTAGATGTGTTAGTCATTCGAAATCCTAATAACACCGTAGGTCACACTGTGTATAGAAAAAAGACCCATACAAACCGATACTTAAACGGTGAATCCCACCATCACCCTTCACAGTTAGCTACCGTGGGCAAATCTTTGTTGCAGAGAGCACGAGGGATCTGTGACAGCAAACACCTGGCCGCCGAGCTTCAGCACGTCAAGCAGGTTCTGCACGACAACAAGCTTCGGGTTCCGCGCCTACGTCACAGTGACCGAGTGAAGCCGGCCACAGTCGAGCGTGTGCCTGCTGTACTACCATATGTCAGAGGTGTCACAGACAAGATTGGCTACATCTTGAAGCGAGCTTCTATTAGAACATTCTTCAAGCCGCCGAAGAAGATTAGTCAGTTCTTACCATCCGTCAAGTGCAATATTCCTCTACAAGATGCAGGAGTATACAAGCTTGATTGTGAGTGTGGTCTCTCATATATAGGGCAAACAAAACGATCAATAAAAACCCGCGTAAAAGAACACATAGCTGACGTGAAGCACCAACGTTCCGGGAAGTCTGCAGTTTGTGATCATATCCTAGACGGCCCCCGTCATTACATTAGATTTGATAAACCACAAGTCCTCGCGAAAGAACATCGATTCCTGCCAAGGATGATACGTGAGGCTATTGAAATTAAAAAACATCCTAATTTCAATAGAGAGGGAGGCTGGGTACTACCACCTGCTTGGGATCCTGTAATTCATAAAATTAAAACTAAACCCAAGCATACCACTGTAAGACTTCAAGACACAGTTAGTTCATTCTGCGTAGATCGGACCAAAATTAATAATTAAAAAGCTGAAGGTACTCCGGGTTAACTTTGACATCGGGACGTCAATCACCTCAGTCCCCCGTGACCACGGTTGCTGGAAAGCAACCGAAACGTCGGGAATATAAAATAAGTAAATTAAACGCGATAAAATCCGTAAAAATAGTTTTATTCAATGTGTAGTGTTCGCGTAAATATAAGAAATCATAACATTGTGAGGCATTTAATTAGAAAATAAACAAAATAAGGTAGAACAAAAAAAATTGTTTAAACTCATCTAGTTATATCGGACGAATCGTGGGTCACGTTAATATCTTGTCGCATTTAGTAGTTACAAACTTGATAATATATTTGTTATTGCATTGATTTTTCGTTAAAGCGAAAAAATAAAATAACAATTAGTATCAATATTCAACGGTCAAGCTTGTGGGGTGGTTTAGCACAAAACAAATTGTCTTGTAAATCCCACTTCTGAGATGTAAGGGTATCACAAAAGTGAATAATAATAGAATTCTAAATAAAAGGAATTAATCAATACAATAACAATATTTATTTCTAGTAGACTAAATCAAAGCTAAATTATAACAAAATAACATAATATATCACAAACCTTCTTGTCACTCCGGCGGCTCGTCTCTGAATGATCCCGACTGTTAAGAGCTAACTTTTAATCCACAGACAATATTTGACGTCACTTTAACACAATCGAGTCGAAAAGTAATCGATTATTCTCACAGGTATAATACGACTTGACCATAGACTCTTTAGTATTAATGGACTGATGTAAACAACTACTCTAATGGGCAATGCTTGTTACATTAGTTACTTTATTTCGTTAATAATACTGTAATTTTTAGCTATGGAAGAGCGAAGTCACCTGTTACAGTCCTCCCGGCGTAAGCTGAGCTTTGCATTTGTGTGAGTGATCGCCAAAAGTACAGTTAGTAAAAAATCAATGTTTTATTAAAAGTTAATGCTGATATTTTGATTATCCTAAATTATAGTAATAACAGTAATAAACTACATATCAATATTATAACTCTTCTTCTCCGCTCATTGCATCTTCATCTTCACTGTCGTCTGATGACTCATCAGAGCCTGTGTTAATAATGAATCGCTCTGATAAACCGTAGCGGCGTCTCGACCATCAAATGCTTTTTCTTCTTTAACTGCACGGTCACAAACATTTTTCCACTCTTGTACAGTGATCGCGTCAACTTTTTCCTTTGTACAGGCATTATTTTGCTTACTAGGTGACCTCGATCACTGATCATATAATGTAACTTTAATGTTTGACGAAATAAGTTATATATTATTATTATTCAGTTTTATTCTATAATTATATAATAAGAATAACCCTTTTTAAAAAGGTTTTGTCTAATAAAATTTGACAACAGTTTCATAGACAGGCTTCGAATATTTTCCAGGCCTTAGTTGTAAAAGTGTTAATTATACCTATGCCTAGGTGTGTTAATGTTTATATAGTTCACTTATCTGTATAACGTTAGTGTATAATAAAGAAATATTAAAATTTATATTAAAAATATTAAATATAAAAGATCACAATTTCTTGGCCAATAACTCTGCCAACACATTCGCCACTGTGTTGGCCAACGTGAAGAGGCGCCTTTAGAATTTATTTCAGTAAACAGAGACTGCCTGTGGCTCGCTCACACGCTCGCTTAGTTCGGCGCAGAGTATAGTAATTAGTAATAGTAACTGTCCGGCGTCAACCGCCATTGTCAGTGGATATTGTATTGGTTGTTTGCAGCGGCTCAAAAACATCGCTGTATAAATAAGTACAAAATATTCGAAAAACAAATTTCATACATACTTGATTATAATAATCAGAGATTTTTATTACAATATTTTAAAAGCACAAAATAAAATTTATTATTAAATACTACTATTATTTAATAATAGTAGTACGTACTAAAAGTAAGTAGGATGTAATATTTATACTTGAATACGTCTTGGACTTTTTGGAGTGACATGAATGATGATATGAGCATTATAAGTAGTGCACTTTGGATTTTCCAAACTTTTTCAAATTGAAGTTTGACATAAAATTATCGGAAATTTGAAAGTATAATAAGGTTATTAGTGAAAATTTGTGTGTATTTAAACTACTTTTAAAATAATCCGTATACTCATGCTATACCTACGTATTTTTTTTTAATGCGAAGACATGCTCAATTGGTTTTACCAATAGTTTTTTTTTTGATATAGTTGAGTCAATCCCTAGCGTACATGTAAAATATTTTGTACAAATTCATACAAATTATCAACAACATGACGTTTTTTCTTTGCAAAATATCAAAATTAACAAAATAATTGAAAACATTCTATATTTTAAACAGTATATAACACAAGTTTTAACCCAAAATAAACGCGTCATAACAATTTATCTGTGAATTGTGCAATTGTCAGGATTATTTCCATTATTAACACTACAGTCACTTAAAGAACAAGTAACCATTTTAGAAAAGTTACTTGTTAAATATAACAAACAGTATACTAAAAAATTACAAAAGAGCTATTATTTCTTACGTGCCGATATGTGCAGACCTGTCATTCAAAATCTGTTACAGAGTCATGACCTCAGGCTTCAGTATATATAAAGGTACTCTGTGCCTCAGGCCTTGTCAACTAATGTATGGGACCTATGCGGCATTAATAAACAGTAGCGTCATCGACTAAATTCGCTAAGAACTACGTCGGCTTCGCAGATCGATGTAGTACTTAGTAAACCGCGTAGATGGCGCGGTAACAAAATTATTTATTTGGTCATTTGTTTTACCAGATTTCTACCACAAAATTGCCAAGTTATTTGAAAACCTCTAAAATGAGAGTATTCACCAATTGATTTTGTATCTATCTATTGATTTTAAAATACTATGTTGCTTTTTTTAATTTGTTATTCTGGATTTTCTTTCGATTTTGTTAATTTGGGAATTATCTGAGTTTTCCAAAAAATCGTCCTATAGACTGCGCTTTACAAACTGGTAGTTGTACAAACTGGTATAAAGAAAAATATTGATTACGTTTGATCAGTAAATAAACTTGATTAAAGCATCAGCAACAGATCTTTTTTTTAACTTATTATAAACCAGTGCTTCACCACGATCCCATCTGGTGGTAAGTGGTGATGTAGCCCTAGATGGTAAATCGCACTGTCTTAGCGTAACAAAAGCCTTTTCACTCTTGCCTTGAAGGCACCCAGATTGTATTCGGACGGAAAGATAAACGCTGGCAAATTATTCCACTCCTTTGCATTAGAAAAGACGAAGCAAATAATAATGCGTAGAATATCGGCAACTAAGGGGTGAAGACCCGCCGACCGCCTGGTTGTCCAATGACGGAAAGGAGAGGAAGGAATTAAAGCGTGTAATTCCTGCGCACACTCACCGAAATGCATCCTATAAAATACCGGCTATCTTGTCCATGTTTATAGAAGAATATTTAATTTATAAAATGGCAGCACTTAAAAATTAAAAAAAACAAGCGTGCATGTTTTCATTCACTTCAAATTTCAACGATTTGTGACGATTTGTTGATTGATGTTGTTTTTGTTTTTCCTTTAATTTGTTACTTTATTACACTTCTGTTTCTCCATTATTGCGTTGAGTTGAGTGAATTTCGCTCCTCCGCATTAGTGTCGGTCGAACCAGAGCAGTGTTGTTGGTGACAAGTTGATAAACTCAAGTGAGATACGGACTCTTTTCATAGTTTGTGTAAAATTGTGAACTTAATTAGATATCCACCTTCTTACCTATTTCACTATGGCACCCAACATTTATAGGAAATGTGCAAAATGTGGGCGATCTTCCAAACAAGTGCCAGGCATTAAACTGTCTCGGTTTCCTAAACCTGGGCCTAAAAATGCTATTCGGTAAGTTTGTTTGTACTTTTCATATACATATTAGGTATCAAGTTACTTTAACTTCTACATTAATAGTGTTTTTGTTGTACAACTACTGCGGCCCCCACATTACACATAGAATCCTGCTATTTGTTTTTATATACATACATTACATTTTAATAAATATATTGCGATGACAAAGTTTTCTTTAAAATTTTCTCTAAGGGACTCTTTACAATTTAAGTTATAAATCGCCCATACGGCTCTCTTTTGCAAAACAAATATGGCATCAATGTCAGTTGCATTAACCCATATCAATATTCAATACGACATTACACTATGAATGCATAGTATAATCAAATTTAAATACATAGGTAAGAATGCACTATGTTGTGTTTCAGCTGTGAATCATGGGCGAGATATTGCTTCCCTAATTCCTCTTGGTCATCTCTGCAATTTCAAGAAAGGTTATATTCTGAAAATAAGGTGCTGTGCGTTGAGGTAAATCACCTAATAATAATATGTTACTCTTCTGCTTCTTACTAGGCTATTTTCAATAAAAACAAAAACATTTCATATAAAACAGGTTGCTAAGAATCACAAACTTAATCCAAATTTTATACTTACAAGAAAAATCCAATCTTCTATACCTATATAAAAATTGATTGCTGTCCATTAGTCTTGCTAAAACTCAAAAACGGCTCAACCTATTGTGATAATTTTTTTGTGTTTGAATGGGTCTCTAGATGGTTTAGGGTTCACATTTGAACCTGGTAGGTGGTGCTTTTGTCGATATCTAGAAATCGCCCTTGTGAAGCAGAGGCAGATTGCTAATATTTTATATTTTTCAATGTAGGCATTCTTTTTTATTTATGTAATTCAAATTCAATAAAAATGTTAGGTATTGTTGTAGCACTCTTACTTTTGTCCCTAACTTTGTCTAAATAATAATTGATAATGTTATTTTTCAGGATCAAACTCTAGCATTGCAAGAATATCTGGGATCAAGTTCATCTCTAGATCTCAAGTCTCAACCAGGTCCTTCCCTTGTTGAGAATATTACGACTACTGAAATGCAATATCACAAAGTAAGTATACTACCAATAAAACATTAAATAATAATCCTTGGCTACTTTTTGCTATTATTCCACTGAAGTGGTACAGTTGCAATTTCTACTACTCGCAATGTACCTAATTTTGAAGTAGCAGGTGCACTTCTATGGTACTAGCCAAAAATACCGTTCTTAGCATTTTTAGGGTTCTGTGCCTCAACTAGCCTCAAGACGAAAAAAGAAACCCTTATAAAAATGCTAAAAAAGTTTTAAATCCTATTATATTCTTCATTATAGTTTTAAAACCACTTAATATCCTTTTTAATGTTTCATATAAACTAGCCGTTTGAATGTAGACCTCAAAGTATTATAAAAATAATAATAATAATATCTTGTAATAGTCCACCAAACAGATTATATATGTAGCACTAGCGCTACACTTAGTCTGGGAAATAAATGACTTATTATTTTGCAGAATCAAGCTGCAGCTCAAGATCTCGAGTGTCAACCAGGTCCATCTTTTTGCAATGTTCTTAAGAACATTACAAATTCTTATACACAGCACCACAAAGTAAGTACCTACCTTTTCTACATTTATATCTATTATATATTTAGAAAGAAAATGTTACTGACTGGACTGATTGACCTATCAACACGCACAGCTCAAACCAATGGATGGGGTTTAGGCTGAAATTTGCCCCACAGATAGCTAATATGACGTAAGCTTCTGCTAATCCAACACATATACCTATAAAATATTTTGCACGCTCAAGCTCTAGCCCAAAATGTCAAGTGTCAACCAGACCCGTCAGTTAAGGAGAGTATGATTACTGAAATTCAGAATGATAAAGTAAGTACCTATCCTATCCACGAAATCTAAGAAATACCTTTTGACAGCTATCACCTTAATTTTTTTTTATTTATTTAATAAAAAAAACTCGTATAAAATTATTGGACCAGCCATTCCAAATGAAAAATCGGTACCTACAATAAAAGTAAACAATATTGGTTCTTTAGAGTTGGTAATAATTAACAGTTTTATCTAGATTAATCATCATCTCAATTCTTGTAATTTCTTTTAGAAAATGGGGTCTAGATTATATCTAAAAAGAGCAATTAAAATATCTAATTAATAAAATTATCCATAATAAGTAGGTACCTCCACACTCACTCACTCACTCAAAGGCACAAATTAGTAATTAATTGTTAATGCTTTTGTTTCAGATGATTGTCTGTAAAGAAATACAGAAACAAACTTTTAAAAAAACTGACAGAGAAAATTATTTATACAACAAATGTAGAAGACAAGTGAAAAAAATTTGTCAACTAAAAAGAACAATTCAGAAGATGAGAAAAGGAGATGCCCTCAACATTTTAGAAAAAAATAAGTCTGTAGCAAAACTAATGCAGAGGCTGACGCCGTCTTTTGCGCTGATGCTACAGGCTCAATTGAAAAATGATAAAAAGAAATTTAAAGGCAGAAGGTGGACATTCGACGAAAAAGTAATCGCATTGAGGTTATTTAAAAGGTCCCCGACGTGTTACCGATTATTAAGAAGGATGTGGTGCCTTCCATCACCTAGCACATTAAATAATTTATTGAGGTTATTTTCATTAAACGTGGGTATCAATGATAATATCTTTAATAGCCTAAGAGAAAAGGTAAAAAAACAACTATTTAAAAAAACCCGCTGGGTTTCTTGCTGGTTCTTCCCAGGACAGAGGTTTTTTTTCGAACCAGTGGTAATTAAACAAAAGAGTGATTTTCAATAAGTATTATATATAATCTATATTGAATAAACAAGTTTCTGTTTCTGTTTCAAATTGTCGACATTTTTATATTTAAATTGAGTATATATTATTATAGTTATTTTCTATGTGAAAATTGCAAGAAGTTTGCATAATTTAAACATTGTTTTATAACATATTAAATTACGCCGTAAACTGTAATTCCAATATGCCAACTTATTTGAATTTAAAACATTTTTGTATAGTTTAGTTATATTTTTTTTTCCGTATCTTTTTTTATGGAGAAATTAATTTGTAAACATAAATTAAGATTTACTATACTTGCAATCCAAACTTATTTGTTTGGATTCGTGATGTCCCAGGCACTACAGCGTCTAGAATAGCTGTTGTAAAATTATTGACGCTGTATAAATCATCTTTAGATGTAAAGGCCAATTTTTCTATTAAAACAAAATTCAAATTGTCGACATATTTTATATTTTATTTAAATTGATTACATATTATTGTAGTTATTTTCTGTGTGAATATTGTAAGAATTTTGCATAATTTAAACATGTTTCATTAAATATTAAGTTACGCTACACCTGTAATTCCAATATACTAACTTAAATGAATTTAAAACAATTTAATAGGCTAATTATATTTGTTTTTTTTTCTATATCTTTTGTTATGAATAAATGAATTTAAGCATAAATTATATTTTACTATAACTTGTATTCCTCGTCAGAAATACATAACTGTGACCGATTCTGGTTTTTCCAAGATTTATTCTATTAGGTTAACAATAATGATAATAATAATGAAAGTGGAAGAAGCAAAACAAGTATGTAAGGATCGTAGCAAGTGGAAAGAACTGGTCTCTGCCTACCCCTACGGGAAAGAGGCGTGATTATATGTATGTATGTATGTATGTATTCTATTAGGAAATATGTTTCTAAAATAATTAATTATTATAATTCTAGAGATAAATTTATAGAAATAATGTTTAATGATAGAAACATATTTTTTAATAGAATAAATCTTGGAAAAACCAGATCGATGAAAAAAATTTAATTTCTGCGATTCGAATTTTCCCGCTCAAATTTGTTGTATGTGCTCCAACGGTAGATGGCGCTGAATTTTGTTCCTATCCATTTAACATGGAGTTAACATTCTTCTCCGCTAGGACCACAGAATACTTTACTCCTAGCGGAGAAGAATGTTAACTCCATATAAAATGGATAGGAACAAAATTCAGCGCCATCTACCGTTGGAGCACATACAACAAATTTGAGCGGGAAAATTCGAATCGCAGAAATTAAATTTTTTTCATCGATCTGGTTTTTCCAAGATTTATTCTATTAAAAAATATGTTTCTATCATTAAACATTATTTCTATAAATTTATCTCTAGAATTATAATAATTAATTATTTTAGAAACATATTTCCTAATAGAATAAATCTTGGAAAAACCAGAATCGGTCACAGTTATGTATTTCTGACGAGGAATACTAGTTATAGTAAAATATAATTTATGCTTACAAATTCATTTATTCATAACAAAAGATATAGAAAAAAAAAACAAATATAATTAGCCTATTAAATTGTTTTAAATTCATTTAAGTTAGTATATTGGAATTACAGGTGTAGCGTAACTTAATATTTAATGAAACATGTTTAAATTATGCAAAATTCTTACAATATTCACACAGAAAATAACTACAATAATATGTAATCAATTTAAATAAAATATAAAATATGTCGACAATTTGAATTTTGTTTTAATAGAAAAATTGGCCTTTACATCTAAAGATGATTTATACAGCGTCAATAATTTTACAACAGCTATTCTAGACGCTGTAGTGCCTGGGACATCACGAATCCAAACTAATAAGTTTGGATTGCAAGTATAGTAAATCTTAATTTATGTTTACAAATTAATTTCTCCATAAAAAAAGATACGGAAAAAAAATATAACTAAACTATACAAAAATGTTTTAAATTCAAATAAGTTGGCATATTGGAATTACAGTTTACAAAACAATGTTTAAATTATGCAAACTTCTTGCAATTTTCACATAGAAAATAACTATAATAATATATACTCAATTTAAAATATAAAAATGTCGACAATTTGAAACAGAAACATAAACTTGTTTATTCAATATAGATTATATATAATACTTATTGAAAATCACTCTTTTGTTTAATTACCACTGGTTCGAAAAAAAACCTCTGTCCTGGGAAGAACCAGCAAGAAACCCAGCGGTTTTTTTTAAATAGCTTACAATCATGTATGTTACACAATTAACAACACAACAAATTAGAAATAGCTTGGTAGCGATCACCTCATTCCCAGGGGTTATTATCATCCATAAATTCCTTAACTTTATAATAACCCTTTTTATACAAACTTAGTTTAATAAAGTTTTTGAACTTTGAGCAAGTCAAATTTTGTATATTTTCTGGAATTTTTTTGTAAAAGCGTATAACTCGCCCCAAGAATGAATTACTGACTCGGTGGAGTAGAGTAACTGGTACTATTAGCTTGTGTCTGTTCCTAGTATTTACAGAATGAATATCACTTATGTTTGTAAAACTACTTTTATTTTTGTGTACGTACATTACATTTTCATAAATGTATTGAAAGGCCAAAATTAATATATTAATTTTCTTAAATATTTGTCGCAGCGACTCTTTAGGCTTTAAATTATAAATTGCTCTTATAGCCATCTTCTGTAAAACAAATATAATTTCAGTGTCAGCTGCGTGTCCCCACAGCAAAATACCATACGACATTACGCTATGGAAATAGCTAAAGTAAACTAGTCTAGCTGTTTCAACACTGGTTAGACCTCAATAATAATAATAATAATAAGGTTAGAAATAACCTCAATAAATTATTTAATGTGCTAGGTGATGGAAGGCACCACATCCTTCTTAATAATCGGTAGCACGTTGGGGACCTTTTAAATAACCACAATGCGATTACTTTTTCGTCGAATGTCCACCTTCTGCCTTTAAATTTCTTTTTATCATTTTTCAATTGAGCCTGTAGCATCAGCGCAAAAGACGGCGTCAGCCTCTGCATTAGTTTTGCTACAGACTTATTTTTTTCTAAAATGTTGAGGGCATCTCCTTTTCTCATCTTCTGAATTGTTCTTTTTAGTTGACAAATTTTTTTCACTTGTCTTCTACATTTGTTGTATAAATAATTTTCTCTGTCAGTTTTTTTAAAAGTTTGTTTCTGTATTTCTTTACAGACAATCATCTGAAACAAAAGCATTAACAATTAATTACTAATTTGTGCCTTTGAGTGAGAGAGTGAGTGTGGAGGTACCTACTTATTATGGATAATTTTATTAATTAGATATTTTAATTGCTCTTTTTAGATATAATCTAGACCCCATTTTCTAAAAGAAATTACAAGAATTGAGATGATGATTAATCTAGATAAAACTGTTAATTATTACCAACTCTAAAGAAACAATATTGTTTACTTTTATTGTAGGTACCGATTTTTCATTTGGAATGGCTGGTCCAATAATTTTATACGAGTTTATATGAGTAGTATAGTTGTAGCACGAATTGGTCGGCTCGACAGGGGAAGGACCACGCTCTCACAGAATACCGGCGTAAAATAGCAGCTTAACGCTGCTGTGTTTCGTATGGTGAGTGTAGAGAACCGGAGACCCTTTTTACTGGAAAAGAGGCATTCCATCTTAGTCCTCACGGGTGACAACGCATCTGCATCTTGAGTCTTTATTGAGGATAGATGTAGATGTCTATGGGTCACAGTAACCACTTACCATCAGGTGGACTGTGTGCTCGTTTGTCACCCTTATTCCATAAACAGTTTGTCAGCCTATCCTATAAAAAAAGACATTTTTGGGTAGGTATTTGAGGAGCGCTAAAAAATTGTCAAATACCTATTACCTACCCAAAAATGTCTACCAGCTCTTATACAATTTGTTTGTCACCCTATCCTATAAAAAAAAAATTTGCTAAGGCTGAACACTGTTTACAAATTGATTTCACTAACTTATGCTAGTAAAACTAAAATTATTCATGTCGGCTCTAACTAGCTACTCAATTTTGATAAGAAAATCGAAGTAATCGCGCATAGACACCAGTGCTTGCATGTTTTGGAAACAAATAGGACCGGTTGCAAATTTGAGTTGTTAGAGCAGGTTCCTCGTTACAAATACTTAGGACTAGAAGTCGATAACTGGGGTTATCATATTGACACAATTTGTGACAAACTGAGAGCAATGTTAGCTAAATTTGCTATCTTGAAATACAAAGTACCATTTAAAATATTACTAAATCTATATAATGCACTCGCAGAGTCAATAATTTCATATGGGATCACTAGCTATGGTAGGACATTTAAAACTTATTTGGACAAAATATACAGCCTTCAACTTCGGTTTTTAAAAATTATAACTCCTAATAAAATTAAAAATCAATCTGCTCCGATGACGATGTATTGCCCTTATTTAAATATTGTAAAATCTTACCCGTTCATATAAAAATAAAAATGTGGCTATTAATTGCACAATTTACTAACAAAGAACTACAAATAAAAGTAAATCATAAAATAACGACACGGAAAGTAGTTCAATCAAAACTAGAAATACTATTTTGATTATATTTAATACCAACTCTCATTAACGACATACCAAGTAAAACCCAATTAGAAATAACGGATAATATTATATATATAGGATTATATTGTTTTTCTTTTCATTAAATAAATAAAAAAAAAATTAAGGTGATAGCTGTCAAAAGGTATTTCTTAGATTTCGTGGATAGGATAGGTACTTACTTTATCATTCTGAATTTCAGTAATCATACTCTCCTTAACTGACGGGTCTGGTTGACACTTGACATTTTGGGCTAGAGCTTGAGCGTGCAAAATATTTTATAGGTATATGTGATGGATTAGCAGAAGCTTACGTCATATTAGCTATCTGTGGGGCAAATTTCAGCCTAAACCCCATCCATTGGTTTGAGCTGTGCGTGTTGATAGGTCAATCAGTCCAGTCAGTAACATTTTCTTTCTAAATATATAATAGATATAAATGTAGAAAAGGTAGGTACTTACTTTGTGGTGCTGTGTATAAGAATTTGTAATGTTCTTAAGAACATTGCAAAAAGATGGACCTGGTTGACACTCGAGATCTTGAGCTGCAGCTTGATTCTGCAAAATAATAAGTCATTTATTTTCCAGACTAAGTGTAGCGCTAGTGCTACATATATAATCTGTTTGGTGGACTATTACAAGATATTATTATTATTATTTTTATAATACTTTGAGGTCTACATTCAAACGGCTAGTTTATATGCAACATTAAAAAGGATATTAAGTGGTTTTAAAACTATAATGAAGAATATAATAGGATTTAAAACTTTTTTAGCATTTTTATAAGGGTTTCTTTTTTCGTCTTGAGGCTAGTTGAGGCACAGAACCCTAAAAATGCTAAGAACGGTATTTTTGGCTAGTACCATAGAAGTGCACCTGCTACTTCAAAATTAGGTACATTGCGAGTAGTAGAAATTGCAACTGTACCACTTCAGTGGAATAATAGCAAAAAGTAGCCAAGGATTATTATTTAATGTTTTATTGGTAGTATACTTACTTTGTGATATTGCATTTCAGTAGTCGTAATATTCTCAACAAGGGAAGGACCTGGTTGAGACTTGAGAT